TCCCTCGCTGCCCCTGTCAAGTGCCCGGAGCATACCTCACACTCAGGCAATCCTCACCGCAGTCTAAGAGCTGGGCTTACAGGTGTGACTCACCACACCCAGTAAGAAACTACATTCAGCAAATATTTATCAGTCAGCTACCCTGTAGCAGAAAAACAATCCGCAAAGAAACCAACGTTGGGGGAGGAAGGATTGTAGGAGCTAGTGGGGTCAAGGATACCACAAGAAACCCCACAGAACCAACTAACCTGGGCTCGCAGGAGCTCACAGAGACTGAACCACCAGCCAGGGAGCCTGCATGGGACTGACTTAGGCCCTCTGCATATATTAATTACAGTGTGTAGCTTGGTCTTGTGGGACTCCTAACAGTGGGAGCAGGGCTGTCTCTGGTGCTTGCTTTGGGGACCCTTCCCTCCTACTGGATTGCCTCATCCAGCCCTAAAAGAATAGGAGGAACCTAGTCTCACTTGATATATATTACCATGGCTGGGTGATATCCATGGGAGACCTGCCCTTTTCTGAAGAGAAACAGAGGAGGAGATGGAGGGGGTGGGGGAGACTGCAGTTGGGATATAAAAAAACAAAAAAACAACAACAACAAAGGAGCCAAAGTCGGGACGCCCTGTAAACAGGAAGCAAGCACTATGGAAGTTCGCTATAGCCGGATCTCATGGGACCCTGAAGTCCTAACGGGATTCTAGGTATGAAAAAATAGGTAACCGTGTATACATGTGAACAGTGACGTATATTGCATTCTTCATTTAAATAATGAAGGACTGGTCATGCTAAGAATCCACCCACAGAGGCAGGAGGATCAGAGGCTCTCAGCTACTCAGAAATAAATGAAAAATAGGTATCTACCTGTAATCCCAGCACTCGGAAGGCTGAGGTAGGAGGGTGAGGAATCCTAGGTAGCTTAGCATGACCCCATCTCAGAGAAGCAGTAATGGGTAAGAGTTAATTCCTCTCAGAGCTGAAGTTGACTTAAGCCCAAACCACAGTTATGGTATCCCACTTCAGGAAGGAACACGCCTCTTGAACGGTCTTACTCTATTGTTCAGGCTTGGAGCTCGCTGGGTAGAGCCCTAGCTGGCCTCAAATTCATGGCAATTCTCCTGCCTCAGCCTCCTGCGTGCTGGGATTACATGCATAAGCCATCACACCTTGGTGTTTAGAAGGGGAACAAGAGTCAGAACATGAAAACTCTGGGCCATCTGCTGAAAGGCAGACAGAAACTGATACTGATGGACAAAGCCTAGAGTTGTAGCGGGAAGTTTCTCCCTGGTCAGGGCTAATCTCTCCCACCCATGTCCTGCAGCCGTTTGGCTCCAAGTAAACACACAGAGGCTTATACTGTTTACAAACTATGGTCTGTGAGTCAGGTTTCTTGCTAGCTAGCTCTTATAACTTAACCCATTTCTATTCATCTATATGTTGCCACATGGCCGTGGCATTACCAGTCTGCTGACATCTTCTTGTTCCTTTAGCAGCAGGCAGGTGTCTCCTCCGCCTCTGCCTTTCTTCTTCCGGTCTCTCTCTTGGATTTCCTGCCTGGCTATAACCTGACTTGCCATAGGCCAGAGCAGGTTCTTTATTAACCAATCAGCAACACATATTCACAATATACCAAAAGACATCCCACAGCACATAGTGACAGAAAAATCTCACACCATGCAGTTTACTGGTAAAAAGCATACAACCCATTAACATATCCAGAGCTGTGCCACTATAGGAAATTTTAGAACATTTTTATCCTCCCATCCCCAATAAAGAGCCCAACCTAAGAAGCCATCAGTCCCGAATCTACTTGTGCTGGCTAGTTTTACGTAACCACAACCAAACAACTACAGTCATTTTGGAAGAGGGAGCCTCAAGTGAGAAAATGCCCCCTCCAGATTACGCAAGCCTGTGCTGCCTTTTCTTGATTGATGATTGATGTGGAAGGGACCAGGTTACTGTGGGCAGTGCCACCCTTGGACTGTGGTCTTGGGTGCTATTAAAAAAAAAAAAAAAAAAAAACAGGCTGAGCAAAACCAATAAGCAGCATCCTCCAGGGCCTCTGCTTCAGTTCCTGCCTCCAGGTTCCTGCCCTGACTTCTTTCAATGATGGGCTGTGATGTGGAAGTGTAAACAAATCAAACCCTTTCCTACCCCACGTTGCTTTTGGTCATGGTGTTTTATCACAGCAATAGAAGCCCTAACCAAAACTCTACATATCCTGGATCCCCCCTTCTTGCCTTAGGCAACCATTCGTCTATAGTTCATCTATGTGGTAGGCAGGTTGCATGTTCTGGGCACTCCATGTAAACTCCATGGAGTTTGTAAGGATGAGGGCTGGTACCTCAGCCTCCCCGTCACACAGTGGGTTCATTCTGTACGGCCTTCAAAAGATGCTAGTGAAGTGAGCCCAGCTGCCCACAATGCCCATCTCATTCACCCTGCAGGGCTCTTCTTTCCCATCACCCTCTCCCCTTTCTTGGCTTCCTGTGCGTACCTCCACAGCAAGGAAACTGAGCTGCGGTCCTTGCTTGGAATCTGAGGCGCCTGAGCTAGGGCATCCTGACAGGGGAATTCCCATTTTCGACCTTTGCTTCTGAATGTCTCTCGTTAAGTTTTCCTTGCCGGATGCTTTGATGTCTGTCCACGTGGAGGTTTATGGTCTAGCTTTATGAATTAGTCATCGCTATCACTGTCCCACTTTTATGAATGGTAACCTGCCCCACATTTTATGAATGGTAACCCGCCATGCATCTGTCTTCTGTTTACTTTCAGGAAATTAGAAGGAAGTCGAGGTTCTTCCCAAGAAGCCAATAGCCACATATGTTTGGTTTTCTTTTTTGAGGGGGTGGGGGAGATAAACTGGAAATACTGCCAACAAGCCAGAACCCTTCTCAGGGACACATTGCTTTAACGGGTTTTTCTCTTGTTTGGTTTGGAAGTGAGGGAAATCATCCAAAAATCTCACTCCGTGTCTACTTGCCCTGTGTTGGGTTCAGCACGCTGTTTTTCCAGTTAAGAATGGAAGACCCTCGAAGGGAAGAGGGTCCTTCCGTCCCCTCCCTGGATAAAGGGAGACAATTTTGCACAGGCAACAGGCAAATGTCAATACCCATGAAAAATGTGGTCCGCGGTAGACCGGATAGTTTTTATTTATTTATTTATTTATTTATTTATTTATTTATTTATTTATTTATTTTTAATTGAGATTTATCTTTATGTGTGTGGGTAATATGCCTGCAAATATGTCTGTACATCAATTGTGTGCCTGCTGCCCTCGGAGGCCAGAAGAGGCACTGAACCTCCTAGAACCAGAGTTCCAGACAGGCAAGCTGCCATGTGGGCGCTGGGAATTGAACCCTGGTCCTCTAGAAGAGCAGTCAGTGCTCTCAACCTGCGAACCATCTCTCCAGCCCCTAAACTGGATTTTGAATGTTCTCCTATGTCTACAGAAAGTCACAAGCCACGGTGTACAGATAAAAAGCAGCCTGATCATGGCTCCACGCGTGACCTACACCCCAGCTTCCTGTTAGCTGCTACTTGGCAGCCTCTCTGTTCTGACCTATCCTCTGCCTTTGTATTGTAGAGAAAAAGAATCTACAGTATGTGCTCTTGGGAGTCTGAATTCTGCAGTCCACCATTGTGGGGGTCATCCATAGTACGTGTGATGACAGACCATTTGTTCTCATTGTTCTGTAGTATTGTACGTGTCCAGGCTCAGGTTTCCCATGTGAAATGTAGCACTGTCCACCTGAACTTGCTGCTGTAATGGAGCTGTGACCTGCACTGGCCAAGGTTGCTATAGCTGCAGTGACTGTTCAGCGCTTGAAGTGTGACCAGTATGGCGGAGGACCTGAATTTTTGTTTGTACTTAAGTATCTTTGGTATAAATAGCCACATATAGCACCGGCTGCTATTGGCCAGTGTCTTAGTTATTTTTTTATCTCTGTGACAAAACACCATGACCAAGGCAGCTTATAAAAGAAAGCCTTTAATTGGGCGTATGGTTTCAGAGGGTCAGAGTCCATGATGGCGGTGCAAAGGCATGGCAGCAGGAACAGCTGAGAGCTCCCATCTTTTATCCGAAAAGAAGAGGCAGAGAGCACTTTGGGAATGGCATGAGTCTTTTGAAACCCCAAAGCTCACCCCCACTGACATGCCTTTTCCAAGGAGGCAGTACCTCCTAATCCTTCCCAAACAGTTCCACCCACTGGGGACCAAGTACTCAAAAATATGAGCCTCAGGGGGACATTTCCGTGGAATCCACCACTTCCAGCATAGTCCTCAGACCTGACTTGAAGGAAATACTCTGCATTTTTGTGGGATGTGCATCCAGGAGCAGACGGGGGAGGGGGGGCATCTGTTCAGCATTAGAAGATACACAAGGAATTTAACTTTTATTGTTTTTCTCATCCGTGGGACTCTAGGAAATAAAAGGATGGCATCTACATCTCCTGAGTTTTATCATGTTTATGTCGCAGGGTGGTATAGATGAGCCTGTTTATGTTGAAGCCGTGTGGTGTAGATGAGCCTGGATATTCCAGACTTCCGACCCTCCCAGGGAGGTGCAGTAAGGTAGGTGGGACTGTTCTCAGTGAAAAGCCCTTTCTCTCCAGGTGTCTCTGATGAGCGGGGCCTCCCCTCCCCAATACTCTTGGATCAGAACTAATGCCTGATTTCTGAGTGTAGCAAGAGCCACCCAGGGGTTTTGCATTTGTTTAATTGAGGAACATGGGTGGGCTGGGGCATTAAACTGAAAATATTTGCAAACCTGTCTTTCTTTTTGCTAATAGAGTCCATTGCTGGTGACTGGGCCTCTGGGTGTGTGTGTGAGTCAAAGTGTGGCTCTGAAAGTCTCCTCTCTTCTGGCTGTAGCCCGTGCCTGTGTGGGCAGCTCCTTAGAGGTGCTCTGTGTATCATCCCTGTTACCATGCTAAGGGAAACAGTGGTCAGATCACTTTTGAGTCATTTCTTACAGTGACAGAGGACAGGCAGATCAGGAATTCAGAGAGACTAGACTATATCCTTTGCCGCCTTTATTTTACTAACCTCACTCAGATTCTTATGTTTGCCGTGATTCCTCCTTTATATTCATTTTTATTTTGGGGAAGACAAGATCTCAGTCTGTAGCCCAGGCTGGCCCCAACCATGTGCTCCTCCTGCCCTGAGCCGAAGTGCTGGGATTACAGGTGTGCGTCACCACGCTGGCTCTTCTCTGGTCTTTGTGTGCATCTCTAAAGGTCAAATCCGGATACTGTGGTTCTTTCCGGGACACAGGTTGCTCTGTTCAACAACAGTTGGAATTGCCGAGTGTCGTCATCTTGGTTTGAAGGCTGCAGCAACTGAAGAAAGAAATGCTGGAGAGAATTATTTTTTTGGAAAGTGTTCTTCAGAACACAAAACAAAAACCAGAGCTTTTAACTTACTCCCAGAAGTTGCTGTTGTCTCTCTGACTGAACTGGGATGGCAGTTATATTTTCCTGGGCCTTAGTGGTCAGGGGTAGAGATGTGGAAAACCATTTTGGGGAGATAAGAGGAAGGTGACAGCAGACTTCAGGCCCTACGTGGCACTGGCCACTATTTGTGTTCTCTACCTATTTCTCTGCTGAACTAAAGACTCAAACCAAGCACCGTTGTTTGAAGTTTTTTTCCCCTCCTTCTTCTATTAACTTAGTTTTTTGTTGTTGTTTTTGATAACTTCAAACTTGAAAAGAACACATTCTGATTCCTTCTCCTCGCCTCTCTTATCTCTCTTCTATCTATATCAACCCTCCCCCATCCCTTTTTTCAGATTCCTGACGTTTGGGGGGGGGGGTGTTTTGTTTTGCTTTGGTTTTTGGTTTTTCGAGACAGGGTTTCTCTGTGTAGTTTTGGTGCCTGTCCTGGATCTCGCACTGTAGACCAGGCTGGCCTCGAACTCACAGAGTGCTGGGATTGAAGGTGTGCACCACCACCGCGCGGCTTGGGTCCGTTTGGGGCCCCTTTAGTCTTACCAGGCTGTGTGACGGTAGATTAGAAGTGTGCCTTGCAGCCTGGCTGGCTCAGTGTTTATACAGCTGAAGGCACTGACTCCCTCACTCCCTGAATCCGTCAGGGCAACGGTTTAGCGGGGAGGGGCGGGGCTCGTCCATCCACACCTGACTGTTGATGGGCGCATTCTTGTGCGCATCCCGTGGAGGCACCTGAAGCTGCTGGGAGTTCATGGATGTAATGGCTGCGTCTCGCCCAGAACTGACATTATGAAGCCCTTCTCCTTGTCTTCTGGCTCTTACAGAAGGAGGACAGCCCCCCCACCCCATCTCCCACAATGTTCCCCGAGCCTTATAGGGAATGATATAAATGCCTTGCTTAGGGCTGAGGACTCTTCTGTCACTTATGAGAAGCACCTGGTGCAGCCATGAGCCTCTGCATTTTCTACCTTTCACTGGAGTCTTCTCTGGTTAAGGCCGGAGTAAACATTGAAAAAAAAACAATCCGATGCTATTTCAATGACCTCCCCTGCCATGGGTACTTTTGACCAGGTTTATGGTACCAAGTATCCATTCCCTCCTGTACAGGAAGTGTGTCACTGGGGGTGGGCTTTGAGGTTTCAGAAGCTCAAGCCAGGCCCAGTGTCTCTCTCTCTTCCTGCTGCCTGTGGATCCAGATGTAGAACTCTCAGCTCCTCTCCAGCACCATGTCCACCTGCATGTCACCAGGCTTCCCACCATAACGACAATGGACTAGAACTCTGAACTGTGAGCCAGCCCCAGTTAAATGCTTTCCTTTATAAGCATTGCTGTGGTCATGGTGTCTACTCACAGCAATAGAACCCTAAGACTGAAATTGACACAATCACCAGCAACAGCACAGATCCAGGGCCAGTCTGTCAGTGGATGCGGAAACCAAAGCTTCCTGGGGAGCTGGAGTAGTGTGATTGTGAGGTGGGGACACACAGACCATGGCGAACATGTGGAGGTCAGAGGGCAACTCGGGGCAGTCAGTTATCACCTTCCACCATGTGGGACATGGGGCTTGAACTCGGATCATCAGGATTGGTGTCAAGTGCCTTTCTCCAGGGATTTTAAACTATCACTCTCTTAGTGACTACATTACACTTGTTGGGGAGAGAGAGCTGATGTCACCTAAAGGAGAGACCAAAGTCGACACCAGGGTAAGTGGCAGCACTGATATGTGTGACAGGAGTGACTGCCACAGTCTGTCCTCACAAACGTCTGATCACCAGGCCCACGAGGAAACCACGAGGAAACTCCAGCCTTTGGACACAATAGAAGAGACCTGGACTAAAGGACTCACAACTCAATCACTGAATCTTGTACTAGGAAAACCACGCTTTACAACAAGTGAGCAAATTTCCATGTGGGTTACATACCGGGTGTCATTGCCGTATGTGTGGGATGGACGTGGCTAGAACACTCTGTAGCCCAGGATGGCCTCAAACCTGTGGTGATCACCCTGCCTCAGCCTCCCACATGCTTTAACTACAGGTGTTCGCACTGAACTTTTAAAAGAAGAGTCTTAGCTGGGTAGTGGTGGCGCACGCCTTTAATCCCAGCACTCAGGAGGCAGAAGCAGATGGAGCTCTGTGAGTTCGAAGCCAGCCTGGTCTACAGAGTGAGACAGCCAGGGCTACACAGAGAACCCCTGTCTCAAAAGAAAGAAGAGAGGGAGGGAGGGAAGAAGAAAGGGAGAGAGAGAGAGAAAAGAAGAGTCTTAAATCCATAGAATATTCAAAAATGAGAGAGAAAGGTGTGTCCTTGGAGTCAACAATCAGTCATGATGGCTGAAATTTCAAGTGGTTCAGAGCGGGAGAGAGAGAGGGAGCAGATGAGGCAGAGTATTAAGGACTGGGAATGCTAGATGCTGTTCTTTTACCTTTCTAAAGATTAGAGTTTTTCAGAGAGAGAGAGAGAGAGAGAGAGAGAGAGAGAGAGAGAGAGAGAGAGAGAGAGAGAGAGAGAGCTTGAGGCAGGAAGAACATGGCAAGTTCAAGTCCCCGGCTCTGGAAAATGACAACCTTGGAAGAGGGCCGGTGTCTCTCTAGCGAGGGAAGAGACCTGTGGGGGCTGTTTTTGTTTCGGCCCCTGTGGCTGTTCACAGCCACGGCCCTTCCTGTCCGGGCTGCACTTGGTTACAGAGGCTGGCAGGAAACCCGGTCCCTCAGCCTTGGGCCCTCACCAAAAGGAAAGCTCCTGCGGGAGGCCCAGGCCCGGCCCTTCCTCCTTCGCAGGACAATGCCTGAGGCCGCCCTGCCACTGCCAGCAGGAAATGCCTGGGAGAAGCAAGGTGGCCCACTGCCCAGGAGCCGAGCCTCAGGCTCTTGGTAGGTTTGCTTTTCAGAGAGTCTGGACTGAGGCCCAAAAGTGAGGTCTAAGCTCCTACGCGGCTGCGGGACTCTGGGAGGAGCTGCCAGGGGCGGATGAGCCGGAGGTGTTCTCTTCAGACACCGTCTCATCTCCCCTCGGAGCCCCAGGACCTCCACTGTGTCTTTCTCAGGAAGCCATTCCGTCCTTGTTTCTAAGAAGGCCTTTACAGGGCTGTGCTGGGACCTCGGGCCAAAAGCCTGAGACCGGCGGCGGCGGCCTGTGTTCTACCACCGTGGTGTTTCTGCCTCAGCTGACACCAAGTCCTGGAACTTTGGGAGGGAAAACCAAGAGTCTGGCTTGGACCAGTTCAATTAGACACAACAGGAAAAAGCAAGTAGATAGCGGAGCACGTGGATCTAAGGGATGAGAGTCGATAGCTAGCCCAGAGGAAATAAACCGGACAGTCACAACCTACTGAGGTTGAATCTGGAAGGAACAGAAAGCCTGAGCTACAAAGAAATGCCTGGTAATTACAAAACCCACTCACAGAGAAAAATTACAAAACCCACTCACGGCTGAGTCCTGCCACACTGAAGAGCCCTGTGTGGTGCCCACACCTACAGTTCCAGTGTTGATGCGGGAAGATCACTGTGAATTAGAGGGTACTCTATACTGAGTACGGAGTTGCAGGCCAGCCTGGGCTACATAGTAAGAGCTTGTCTCAAAACCCAGCAGAAAGGAAGCTTGGATGCACGTCTTAAATCCCAGCACTGGGGAGGCAGAGCCGGACAGGTCTCTTGAGCTCAAAGCCAACCTGATCTATATAGCAAGTTCCAGGTTAGCCCGGCCTACATAGTAAGACCCTGGCTCAAAAAAATCAAAGCTGAGCTTGGAAGGGAAGTTTGACAGGAGATGAGCATGTAGGGGACGCAGGAACAGAGGTAGCCCAAGGTGGCAGGGGTCGGGAAGGGACCGACAGCTGAGCCATGGTCTCCCTGCCGTTAGCTGACTTTTCTTCGCTGTCTTTGAACCCGGCTTCCTTAGGATGACGACAAGAGGGTTAACTTCCACCGTTGGCACGTGTCTCTGCTTGAACCATAGGATTTCTAGTGTCACAGGACACTAAGGCGGGTGCTTCTGTCGCCTCCTTTTGTTTTGTTTTGGTTTGTTTTTCAAGACAGTTTCTCTGTGAAACAGCCCTGGCTGTCCTGGAACTGTCTCTGTAGACCAGGTTGTCCTTGAACTCACAGAGATCTACCTGCCTCTGCCTTCCAAGTGCTGGGACTAAAGGTGTGCGCCGCCGCCGCCGCTGCCGCCGCCGCCGCCACCACCACCACCACCCCCCGGCCATCACCTCACTTTTAAGTAGGAACACATATGAGTGCAGAGAGGTTGCGTTCTCTGCTCCAAATCCCCAATGCTGTGTCAGGTCCACAGCCGTGTGCTGACAGCTGTGTGTGTGTGTGTGTGTGTGTGTGTGTGTGTGTGTGTGTGTGTGTGTGCAAATGTGAGCACATTCAAGTGTGGAACTCAGAGGACAACTTGTGGGGTCAGTGTTTTAGTTAAGGTTTCTATTGCTGTGAAGAGACACCATGACCACAGCTACTCTTATAAAGGAAAACATTGAATTGGGGCTGGCTTATAGTTCAAAGTTTAGTCTGTTATCGTCATGGTGGGAACCATGGAGGCATGCTGGCAGACATGGTGCTGGAGAAGGAGCTGAGAGCTCTACATCTTGATCTGCAGGCGGCAGCAGGAGACTGAGTGCCACACTGGGTGTAGCTTGAGCATAGGAGACCTCCCAACCCACCCCCACGGTGACACACTTCCTCCACCAAGGCCACACCTCCCAACAGTGCCACTCCCTCTGGGCCAAGCCCTTGAACACCTGAGTCTATGGGGGCCATTCCTATTCAGACCACCACAGTCAGGTCTCTCCTTCCATCAGATGGCCCCAGGGATTGAACTCAGGTCTTCAGGCTTGGCAGCACACACTTTAAGCCAGTGAGCCATGCCACTGGCCTGGTCTGCTTTTTTTTTTTTTTTTTTTTACAAGCAGAATGATTCATATTTCTCTCTCACTCCCCTCTGACATAGTTTTTACTATATAGCCCAGACTGGCCTGGGACTTTGCTCCTCCTGCCTCAGCCTTCTGAGTGTCTGGATTACAGTTCTAGGCGACCACACATCTCAGGGTGACTCTCCTCCTGATACCTTCACACACACAATAACTAAATTGGAATTGTTTAATTTGGTCTAGCCACGAGGGGGGTGTATGCTAAGCCTGAGGGAAAGTTGTAATACAGAGGAAAACGGGTGTAGAGCTGGATGTGGTGTCACGTGGCAGGCCTGTAATCCCAGCACTTGGGAGGTGGAGACAGAAAGATCAAAAGTTCAAGGTCGTCTTGACTATTTAACAAATCCTGTCTCGGTAGCAGAAACAAAAACAATAGCGATGCCTAAGTATAAACTGAGAGCATTTGGCTTCCCCACCTTGATGCTGGTGTGATGGTGACATGTGGAGGGGTCCCAGTTTAGTAAGTCAGTGAGCGGAGGATCTCTGGCTTCCCCGGAGAAGCTGAGGATGGAGCGCCCACAGGCCAGCACCAGATACAGGCTTTCTCTGTGTAGCCCTGACTGTCCTGGAACTCTGCCGGCCTCTGCGTCCCAAGCGCTGGGATTAAAGGCGTGCGCCACCACCGCTCCGCTTTGTGATTAAGTTGCAATATATGGAACTGGAGGGGACACGAATGTTCAGACCACAGCGACATCTCATTTGTCCGAGCAGCAGTCACCACTGTGGACCGTTCTGTAATCCCAACACCGGGGAGGCTGAATGAAGCAGGAGGTCTTTGAGTTGGAGGCCCACCTGGAGGCTACACAGTGAGCTCCAGGCTAGCCTGGGCCACGAGGCAAAACCCTGCCTCAAAAGTAAATAAACAGTTAAGTGACGGTGTGCTGTGCTTTGGACAAACTTATTGAAACCAATAAAGACACCTTGAAAATATATATCTAATGGTTTGCTTTAAAGAAGAATAAACATTCATTTACCTAATTGTGTGGCCCTGCGGCTGGATGGGAGCCGCAAGTTCCAGAATTAACCCCTCCCTGGCTGGGTCTGGGGACACTGACTGGGTGGCGCCGGGCATGCATGCCCTTGACAGCTTCGGCAGAGGGAAAGGAGGAAAGCAGAGGCGATCTGTGCCCGCTCCGTCCCCCACCCACCCTTCTGTGCTGCACCTTTTTAACCAGTGACCTCGCGCCTCGGGGGGGCAGGAGGGGAGGAGGGTCCCCCACCCCACCCCTAGGAGCGCTTGGCAGCGCCAGGGTATCGTCTGGCTTGGCCACCGGGGTTCGTGAACCCGCAAAGGGACCGGGTGCTGGCGGCGCCCTCCTTTGTGCGGCGGCTGCGCGCGGCTCCACCGCTAGGGGGCGGGCCCGCGGCCCGCAGACCCCGACAATAGGCGAGGCCCCGGGAGCGGTGCGGTCCGGCAACTTTCCTCCGGGGTCGGCTCCCGGGAGGCTCGGCCGGGCCATGGAGGAGGGGGCCGGCGCCGCGTCCCCGCTCTGGAACTGGGACTACCTGGACCGCTGCTTCGCCCGCCGCCGCGTCTGCATCTCCTTCGGCCTGTGGATCTGCGCCGCCTGCTGCTGGATCGCCGCCCACGCGCTGTAAGGGGGCCGGGACCCGGGCGAAGGGGAGATCGGGCGCCGCTCGCTCGCCTCTCTAGGAAACCCGGGGGCGGGGGGCGGGAGGCCTCCGGGAAGCAGCTCAAGTCCGGGGTCAGATCTGACACTGCTCTGTGGACTGTCGTGGAGTCCCTTCTGCATTCCCAGCACGGGGAAGCTGGGCTGTGAGCCGGCGGCAGGAGGCTGGGTGGTGCAGTGGGGGCGGCTTGGATTGGCTTCTATTGTCAGCCTTTCCCTGCTGGCTGGCGCGGGGGAGCAAGGGCAAGGTGTAGTGAGCCTTTGGGCCTCCCGTGAGTGCGGATATGCCTCCGGAAAGGAATGTGAGGATTAAATGAGGCAGGCCCGGCAAAGGACTTAGTAAGTGCTCATTAAACACCGTTATGGCGCTGGCTCTGCCACCCACCCTTAGGGAACCCTAGCAAGTCCCTTGATGTTTTCTAGTTGTAATTCACCCAAAGCTGGGAAGAGGTGGGGAAGTGGTGTTCCGACTCCGGCCACAGTTATTTTTGCTTGTGTCTACCTTGCAGTGGGTTGGCCAGGTAGTCCCTGTCGCCTGGGTTCTGAGGGTGAAACTTCCAGGTCTTCAACCACCCAAGTATACCCAGGAAGGAGAGGGAGGGTGCGTCATCGCTCTTCCCCACTGCTGGCACTGGCTCACCTTAGCGCTCAGGGACAACCCCTCAGACCCTCCGCCAGTGGTTCATCGAATCTGCAGTCCCATTGCCTAGTGAGTGGAGTCCAGGAAAGACGCTCTGGACCTGGGCTGCATTTCTTCACGCCCTTGGTCCTTGCCTGGCCCAGTCCCTAAGGTAGGTTCTGTTAGCACGCTTTCCGATGAGGAGCCTGCCTACTGAGTGAGTATGCAGTAACACAGGCAGACTTCAGGGACTGAGCTATCCAGTCAGGGGGCGCAAGGTAAGAGGGCGCCACGGGCACCATCTCCTTTCTCATGGGCATTGTCTCCTTTGTTCCTCAGCCACCCCATGCTGCCCACACTGTTGGGCATGCTTGCCCCTGGAACCGAGGCTTGCCGAGGTTCAGCAGTGTGCTGAGAAGGCCCGGCTGTGCAGGCTTGAGAGCAAGGCTTCTGTCTTTCACCCAGCCTGAGGCTAGACATGGCCCTCTCCTCCCAGGACCCCACCACTCCCGAAACCCCTCTCCTCCTCTGTCTGCAGAGAACCAGTCTTCCACGGTGTGGTGTGTGGGCTAGGTTAAGGTCGGTCCAGGAGTCCTGCCCCCCCCCCCCCCCCAGAGCTTGGAGGACATGCCCGCGAGCAACAGGGCATAGGCGAAGGCCCCAGCCTGAAGTCAGATCCTGCATCTGCTCACATCGACCCCCTAGGCTGCGGATTCTCCTCTCTCCTATACAGAGGCTGAAATAAAACATTGCTAATTTGGGTCTTCACTCCTTGACCTTGGATTGGTTTTAGCAGCCCAGAGCGTAGATGTTTAGCTAATGATAACACTCTGTGCTTCAGGCTCGGGGCTGGCAGACCCAGAAAGGTTTAGGGCATTGGGTTAACAGCCTTCCTTCTGTAACTATGGTCTTTGGGACCGGGGCTCAGAACCGGATCAATGGAGTGAGCACCAGCCATCCCGTCTGAGTGGATGAAGCGGGAGCTGCTCCTGGCCCATTGCTCTGTAAAAAACCAGCCGGGGGACACCTGACACCCAGTGGGGTGGAGGCAGCATTGGTGATATTGCCAGAGAGTCTCTGGCCTCTACGAGTCTGCCCCCCCCCCCCCCCCGTATGACCCAGGTGTGTGAACAGTGGGGAGAGAGCTGGAGAGGAGCCAGCCGCTTGGAGACCTGGGGAGTGGGGGGGAGGGGGGCAGAGCACTGCGCTGCCTGCCGCTCCGCAGTTCCGTTTTTGTTTTCCCTGCATTCTGAACATGCACAAATTGCTCAACTGGCAGAGTCTGCCACCCACTGCACAGATGGACTGGGTAGATTTCACTCTCATTTCAAAGAAACAAATTGCCTTTTAAATTTAGGCAATCATCGCTATTGTTAGTGGCGCTGGGGTGGTGGTGGTGACTTTTAGAAACTGTTTCCCTTTCAGAAAATCAAACCTAACAGCTAGCGTGTGAGGGAGGGGAGGGCTCTGTACCTTGACCCCGCCTGATCTGGAGGAGGGAGAAAGAAAAGAACCCTTCTCTTTTCTTAAAGACAGAACCTCCTATGTAGTGTGCAAGCTGGCCTCGAACTCGAGACCTCCTGCTTCTGCTTCCCACGTGCTAGGATCACAGGTGTTTCCGAACATGCCGAGGCTTGGAAGAATCTGAGGTGCATGCCCCTTGCCCGGCTGGTCTCCCCCTTCTGTAGAAGAGGACGCTATGTCTACAAGTACAGCTCCAATTCCTGGCATGGTCTCGTGGATCTTCTGCTCTTTTCTTCCCCACCTGAATGCTAAACCCAGAAACATGCTACACCTAGGGATTAGCGTGGAGACGATGCTTCCCAGAACAGAGGTTACAGCTGCCTCTTCTAGGTGTCATCTCTGGCCTCGTCTCCAACTCACAACCCCTGTGTTCTGTTCACACTCCTGTCACCTCAGGGTTCTCTACCTGAGGTGCACCAAGAAATGTGGCCGGGACCAGTCGACACTGTGCGCGGCCTTCTGCCTCCTGACCAGCCTATGTGACACCGTGGGGGCCATTCTGGCCAGACAGCTCACGATCCAGGTAGGTCCCGCACAAGCCTGGCTTCTGCCTCTCCGCGGCAGCCACAGAGGCCTCCTCTGTCGTTTCCCTCGGCCCGCCGAGCAGTTTCCTCTCAGAACCTGTGCCTTGTCCTTCCTGCCTTCTCAAGTGCTCTTTCAGTGTCCACACGGCCCAGCCTCATCCCCTTCAAGTGCTTGTTCAAAGCCGCCTTCTAAAGCAAAGCCTCCCGGGGCTGCAGCCATGTCCCAGTGGGTAAGAGCAGGCACAGAGGACTAGAGTTTGGGTCCCAGAACCTGTGTCAGGTGACTTATAATGGTGTGAAATCCAACTCCAGGGGATCCCATGACTTCTTCTCCTAGGGTAAACACTTACACTAGGCTGTACACACATGTGTCTGTACACACACATACACACACACACACACACACACACACACACACACACACACACACAATAAGGCCTTCCCTGTGTGAAATGGTAACACACCTCTTCCACAAGTGCTCCAAGCTCCTTTCTGCTGTGGTTTTTGTTGTTGTTGTTGTTGTTGTCTTTATTTTTTATTTTTTTTTTTTTTTAAGACAGAGTTTCTCTGTGTAGCTCTGGCTGTCCTGGAACTCACTTTGCAGACCAGGCTGGCCTCGAACTCAGAGATCCGCCTGCCTCTGCCTCCTGAGTGCTGGGATTAAAGGCGTGTGCCACCACCGCCACGCCCAGTCTGCTATCTTTTCTTATCTTGCCGTGTCTTGGTTAATTTCCGGTTGCTGTGACAAAACACCATGACCAGGGCGACCCATACAAGAAAGTGTTAAATGGGGCTTCTGGGTTAGAGGGTTGGGGTTCATGACGGCAGAGCAAAGGCGTGGTGGCAGGGACAGCTGAGAGCTCACATCTGGATCTGCAAGTAAGAGACAGAGGCGCTGGAAAGGGCTTCCGTCTTTTGATACCTCAAGACCCAGCCCCCAGTGACACACCTCCTCCAGCAAGGCCACACCTCCTAGTCCTTCCCAAACAGTTCCACCAGCTGGGGTCCAAGCATCCAAACGTATGCGCCTATGGAGGCCATTCTCCTTCAGGCCACCACAGTGAGTCACCGTCGTCAGAAGAACAGGGACTTAGTCACCTCTGTATTGTCACTGTACACGGCTCCTAGGAGACGCTCAGCAAATAGTCATTACCGTTACTGTTTGCAGGGCTGAGACTTGGCAATGGCAGCCGAGTCCTTCCCCGGGTGGTCATGTGGGATTTGGCACAGGGAAAAGCGGTTCTAGTTTCCCCCAAGTGGGGGCCCTCAACTAAAGTGTTCTAGCCCTCAACGCATATCCCAAGGAATATTTTTTTGAGCCCTACCTTAAGGAACTCGTGATTTTATCTTTGTGGCCACCCAGGCAGAGCTAAAGGGGGGGGGCAGCCTTGTGGTCAGGACACTGGTTCAGAGGTTTGAACCTGCTGAGAAGAGTGTCGTGCTGGCCCTGGAGCAGACTCCCTTTTCCATTGGCTTGTGGGGTAGAATGAGGCTCTGTTCGTGTCCAGTAGGGATGGCTGGCAGGAACTTGTTAAATATTTAACTGCCTCCTTGGCCCCGAGATCCCCTTGTGTATTAACTCGTTTACTCCGGAAACTGTCCCGTGATAGGGGGCCTGTCATCATTCATCTGCTACAGATGTGGAAACTGAGGCACAGTGAAGCTTTCTGTAAGCCCGCCCTCTAATAAATGCCAGGGCCGGATTCCAAAGCCACAACGTACCCTCTTCCCATTGAAGCTCTTGTCTGGTATTAATGACTTCTTCTAGGTCCCGGTTCCAATATTGGCCATGAATTGTCTGCAGACATCTATGTGGCCGTCATTGAGGGAGACCTGGTTGTGTGCTGGTTTTACAGATGGGGAAACTGAGTCTCAGAACGCTTCTGTGTCTGGGATATAGCTCCACAGCAGAAGCTACCCATACTGCCCCGGCATAACTCACCTGGTGTGTGTGTGTGTGTCGGGGGGATCTCCCAGAGGGCAGCGCTGTGGTACCTCGGGGCTGGTGCTTGATCGCCCAGACTCTGTCTCCATTTGCTTCCAGGTGTTCACTGGTGCCTACCTAGCAGCTGTCGACTTCGTGAACTTTATGTCCGTTCTCTTCCCAGTCTGTGGCTCCAAATCCAAGTCGAAGTCTGGTGAGTGTGCGCACACAGTCATCCCTTCTGCCTTCTGCCTCCATTCTTCCGTCCATCCATACGCTCGGTGCCCGTTCCTTACCACACTCAGAGCCAGACAAAGGAATGCGATCCCTGGCTTCAGCTGCATGAGAAAGATGGGGCCCTAAGCAGTTACAGGGAGGGATGAGAGTCGGAGCTAGGAAAGTGTGTGACAGCGTATGACGACACCATGACTGGTGGGTGTCACAGGCAAGCAGACCAGAACGGGCCAAGGCCAGAAGCAGGGATGTAGATGGCTTCAGGGGACAGTGTGCAAGTCTGGCTGCCCAAGCCAAGCCACACAGCTTCTGGAAATGGATGGCAGAGGCAGGCATGCATCGCCTCTGCAAGAGCAGGGTTGGAGGGACTGAGATGGGGTGAATAGCCCTGAGTACGTAGGACTGGGGGTTCCTGAGAAGAGAGCAGTCAGTGTTCTTAGACTCTTGTCCAAAAGCAGGATGGTCACATCGATGGGTCAACCCAGTCCACGTAGCTCAGAAGAAAATTATTCTTTTTTTTTTTTTTTTTTTTTTTTTGGTTTTTCAAGACAGGGTTTCTCCTTTCCTGGATCTTGCTCTGTAGACCAGGCTGGCCTCGAACTCACAAAGATCCACCTGCCTCTGCCTCCAGAGTGCTGGGATTAAAGGCGTGTGCCACCACTGCCCAGAGAAAATTATTCTTTATAATGCTCCGAAGAGCGTGTGTCCCGTGTTCCAAGGAACTCTACAAAGATGTCCTCTGTCATTGCTGTTTCTCCTGCTCACAGAGTGGGTGGCTTGATGCCCAGTCACTTATCTGTGCCAGTGACAGAAATGGTTGGAACATGGTCATTGGGAATGGGAGTCTAGAAGAGGGGTTACTGTCCACATTAGATACTAGCATTAAAAGATTCCTTCCAGCCGGGCGGTGGTGGCGCACGCCTTTAATCCCAGCACTCGGGAGGCAGAGCCAGGCGGATCTCTGTGAGTTCGAGGCCAGCCTGGTCTACCAAGTGAGTTCCAGGAAAGGCGCAAAGCTACACAGAGAAACCCTGTCTCGAAAAACCAAAAAAAAAAAAAAAAAAAAAAAAAAAAGATTCCTTCCAAGGAGGACAGGCAGCAGCCGCTGTCAGGAGAGACGGTTTCTGGAAGAGGAACTTGACCCCAGGGCTTTGAAGGGGGTCATGATCGGCCATAGCAAGACACTCAGCAGAGGCTAGAGTCTACACCAGCTTCCCCCCTCACCGGCCGTCTGGTGAATTCTGTCGTCCAGGAGCATCATGGGAGGTCTGGTGTTTCCCGCAGGTGGGAGCTGCAGGGAGAGGAAGAGCAGAAGGCACCTGAGAGCCAGGGTGTTTGCCCTGGCTCTGCCGCTGTGCCTGGGTCCCGGCTGGGCAGTCTGGGCTGCTGTCCCCAAGGCTTCAGCCCCAGTCCGAGGGCCACAACGGAGACTGCTGGGAAGCCTGCTGCAGGTAAGGCTGAATGTGGGGTGGTACAGGTCACACTTCCCTCCTTGTGCCCTTGGAGAGGGTGAGGGTTCTTGCCATTGGAAGGAGCAGCCTTCTAAAAGCAGAAGAGATTGTGTTGGGCTTGTTGCTCTTTGGGACATGTGCACAGTCTCTACACATCCGTTCTTGCAGGAAAACCCGGAAGTCTTCGGCTACCTGCTGGGTGGCATCGCCGCCTTTGGCTCCTGGGCATCCCGGATCCCTCCGTTCTCCAATATCGTGAGACTGGGGTGGGGCTGGGGCTATGGGTCATGTGACCAGCCTTGGGGCATCGGGAGATCCTGGGGGTGGTGTGATGTCCCTGTGTGGAGCACACATGTGCTTACATTTTTCTGAGGAGCCAGTGAATGACAGCAGTGTGGGCTGTGTGTGCATGCATGCATGCATGCATGCATGCATGCGTCCGTGTGTGTAGGTGTGTGTCTAAAGGGCCATGGCTGAACAGTGGAGTCCTGAGTCATACAGGAACCTTCCAGGAAGTCTGAGGTGCTTCTCTCTACTTCCTGTAGCCAAGGAAAAGTAGAGCAGGAAAAGGTCACATGGATGGACAAATTAGAGTCTCACAAGAGAACAAGAAAGGCACCGAAGTCCAACACAGTTAGCTACCCACGGTCTTATTGGCAAATATTTCCAGACATCTGGGCTGTGGGAAGACTTGCTGGCCAGGCCTGCTGAGGCCAAATGCGGCTTATCCTTGGGGAGCTCTCAGTCCCGTGGAAGACTCAGGTGGTGCCGTGAGGGGTTTCCCTGCTCTCCCGATAGTGGAAACAAGTGTTTGGCTTGGGACGCAGGAGAGACGGCCCCTGTGCCGTCAGGGAGTAAGAGGAGACACCATGACAGTATCGGGCTGCAGGGGGTCTCTCATAGTGGCTCGCAAGGGCAGAGGGGACCAGCGGAGGCAGAAGCCGAGGAAGGGCTGTCTGTGCACGGGAGAGGGCCTGGAAAAGCCACCATGCGGGACGGTGCCTGGGTGAGCTCCGGGGCTGGTGTAGAAAGTGGCCTGCTGGGTTTTCTCTGTAGAAGACTCTGCTATGGTGCGCCTGCCTCAGTGGCAGGCCCAGCGCCAGCCCTGACACCCGAAAGTGGAAAGAGTCTGTCATTTAGTCTGAGACAGCCACTTTCCCAGGAGCGCCACACTTCGGTAGCAGATCCAGAAGGACAGGACGTGGGAGGCAGGTGGCTTGTGACTGTGTGCATACAGAGCCCAGCTGTCCTCGAAGTCCTGGAGTCCTGTCTCCAGAGATTGCCAGGCTGGCTGCAGCAGCCTGTGGAGGAGCCTCCAGGAACGGAGTGGGGCATCACATGGCGGGGAGACCTTCCAGGGAACAAGGGCTGTATCTTGACTACCTGTTCTAGTTCCCTAGGACCTGCCGCAGGGTGGTCAGGCTGGGGAACTCACAGGCCCTTAATGGCCCTGAGAAACTTCCAGGGTTGTGGAAAGGAACCATGGGAAGGGCATCGTTACCCTCAGGCTGTGAGGCCAGGGACCAGACCCACCCTCACCTCCAGGTACCCCACAGTTAGGTGCTTGACTGGGTCTCTCTTCTCACTGGCTTTCTGCGGATGGTGGCCAGAAGAGAGCCTGGGGATAAAACTAACAGGGATACGTGGCATTCCTGGCTGTTTTTGTTTGTTTGTGCAGTGCTGAGCTTTTAACCCAGGGCTGCACATGTCCTAGGCAATCACTCTACCGCCCACCTGAGCATTCTTGGGGGAGTTAAAGCAAAAAAAAAACGAGAGAAAAATCAGCCAAAATACACTTTTCTCCTGAAATTGGTTCCATTCCTTAGCCAACACCTAAGTATTTCTAAATACCATCACCTAACAAGCAAAACAGATTATACACATTTCATACTTGCATATGTGGAAACTTAAATCTATACTGTGCAGTTTAGTATGTAGTCTTGTGTATGCATGTATAAATGTATATATAAAGTGACTTTTTTTGAATATTTATCCTGGGGTTGGAGATCTGGCACATGGCACATGGCTAGGGTGTTATGATCAGGGGACAACTTGCAGGAGTCGATTCTTCGTACAGTGTGGGTGCCAGGATCCAACCTAAGTCGCCAACAGCGGGTGTCTTTACCTGCTGAGCCACGGGCTGTAAAGTGACTTTGTGCCTACCGAGACTCCTTACATGAAACATCGCACGTGTTCCTTGTTTGTGAGCCAATATCTCTGCTGTTCATTCTCTCACAACATCCTGTTGGCTTCACAACCTCCAGAAGGTCATCTCTCAGTCCCTTGATCTCCCTGTGTGGTGAGGTTCCCCAGCGGGAAAGCTGCTGGGCAGTGGCTCTTTACAACTCAGTCTCCCTCATTGTCCCCAGCTGGTACCCACGGGCAGGAGGGTCACTGGTCTGTCCCCCAGGAGTCCCCCAGGCATGACCGGGTCCAGAAAAGAACCAGAGCCCCATAGGGTGGACACAGTAAGGAAAGGTGTCCGGTGTTAAGGTCAAGCCAGATTCTGAGGAATGAGTAGGGTTTGCCAGGCAAAGGTAGCAGCATGAACAATAGCTAGATGCCCAACGGGCGGAGCGCCCTTTGTGAGTGGCCTCTGGTAGCGGGCTATGCCATAGGCCACCGAGAGCTGGGGTCTTCGGATCCAGTGTCCGCCTGCCCAGCCCCTCTTCTCTATGCACAGTGTCGGGGGAAGTCGCTCTCCTACATCCACTTGTGGGCTCGGTTCCTGTCCGCTCTGGCTGGCCTCCTCTACGCCTCGGCCATCGTGGCCCACGACCGGCAGCCTGAGTACCTCCTCCAGGCCACACCCTGGTTCCTGATTTCTCTGGGCCGAGCTGCACTGGACCTCGCTGTATCCCAGAGACTGTTTGAGTCTGGATCGCCTGCAGCCAGGGGCTTTGTCCTACCTCCCGCCTGCCCTGGCCTCTTTTGGTCTTGCTTAGGTAGCATGTGGTCCAGCAGCCCAGTGATTTTAAGCCTGGGACAGGCAGGCACCAGGGCAATGATCTGCAGTTCACGGGCTTTCTTAGTTCAAAGACAATTCTCTTGCCCAGAGCAAGGGAAGTGGGAAGACTCTGAGCCTTGGGGGTCCAAGGCCCCGGCTCCAGGGGCTCCAGGCTCGATTCTGCTTCCTACCAGGCATCCACCTCTCCCAGGATCCTGCCCTCTCGGGGGGGGGGGGATCCTGCCCTCTCGGGGGGGGGGGCAGTCTGTTTCTTTTCTTCCCCCACTAGGCCTTTCTGAGAGGGCTTGGCAGGCTGGCCTGCCAATCAGGGTCCTTCTGCTCTATCCTCTTCTGCTGGTGCAGAGATCAAAGGTGATCAGTGCCGCCTCCAGTCAGGGGCTGCTGAGCCCGCTCCTGGGGCCCCAGGGGCACAGCCTGATGTACTGTCACCCGGGTGTCCTTGCGTGAGTGTTTCAAGGGCAAGGGGAGCTGAGCTGGTGGGCTGGAGGAGGCTGGTGGCGGTGGTGGTGGTGACAGCCTCCGAATGTGACCCCGCTCTGGTGGTGGTGGGAGAGTGTAAATCACCCAGAAGTCTAAGACCAAAGCGGGCCCACTCTTAAGGCTCCGCCCGAGAAGCTGCGCTCGTCCCTTCTGATTACCTGTCACCTCCAGAATTCTCTAGCTGCCGCTTTATTATAGGGGTTTTCCTTTATGAGACAAGTTCTTGGAAGGTAGCTAAGGCTAGCCTTGAATCCCACCAGATCCTCCCGCCTTAGCCTTGGAAGTGTGTTCTTTGGTAGATCTCTGCATGTCTTCCCTTTTAAGGGCGCCAGGCATTGTGTGAAGGCCCATTTTGGGTCTCCTTTCAAATAAGCCTGTTTTTTCATGTGGACCACATGTGTTTTCCACCACTGCTCATGTGGTCACTGTGAGGCATGCCCCGAGGAAAGACGGTTTTCGAATGTTTCTGCCTCCCAAGCATTTAGCAGGGCACAGAAAGACAGAGAAAAATTGATCAGGCCGGGGCTTCCAAGATGTGCTCTGTCCGCCTGGGACAGGATCATCCCAGGAAGGGACCAGGGCCGGCTGCTGGGGCAGAAGGGTGTGAAGAGCACCCCCTAGAGGCTGAAATTCTCCGCTTCCGTTTACCTTAACTTCCGCGTCTCAGATCATCTTTCTGTCCTGTGTGATCAAGAGCAAGATGAGAGGAGCCTTCGGATTTGCTGCTGAAGTCAGAGAGGGCCCGGACACGCAAGCCCTTTTGACCTGCGCAGAGAGAGAAGAAGAAAGTCAGGAGGCCGGGACTGAAGACAAGGTCTCTCTGGGTAGAAAATGTCTGTTTTGATGGCTGGGTGCACAGAGGTGGGAAGTACTGGGTACAGTGACTTCTTTCCAGGCTTGGTCTCTTAAAGAGACTGCTTTTACGCCGGGCGGTGGTGGCGCACGCCTTTAATCCCAGCACTCGGGAGGCAGGGGCAGGTGGATCTCTGTGAGTTCGAGGCCAGCTTGGTCTACAGAGTGAGATCCAGGAAAGGCACAAAGCTACAAAGAGAAACCCTGTCTCGAAAAACCAAAAAAAGAGAGAGAGAGAGAGAGAGAGAGAGAGAGAGAGGAAAAGAAACTGCTTGAGAGAGAGAGAGAGAGAAGAAAAGAAACTGCTTTCAGTGTCCAAAGCTCACATGATCCTGAATGCAATGGGATCCTCCATTTTCCCGGTTCCAAGAACTCTTTTATTTGTTGTTGTTGTTGTTGTTGTTACTCCAGGCGTTCTTGTAGCTGTGCAGTTGGATAGTCAAATAGTCACTCGTGTTACCCAACTAACTCATTTACAGACACACACACACACACTCACACACTGCCTAAGTCAGTGTCTTCGTTTTCAAACAGCGTGGGCTTTTCCACTCTTCATCAGTTTGCTCCCCCTTTTCCCCGTGCGTCTTTATGTCGTTGCCTCCTCCGGTCAACCCCGGAGCACGCTCAATCAATGCTCATCCCCGCCTTTGCACATCTGTGTGACGCTGTTTCTGGAAAACTGTCCCAGGTCACAAGGGCCCACTTGGACTTGAGGCCGCTGCAGTTTAACTCTCCCGGCTTGGAGGCTGGGCTTGCTAATGCTCGTCTGGGGAAGTCGCTTGTGATGGTGTCCCACATTTACAGCTATGAGTCACCACTAGTGAGAGTCGATACGTCTGGGGCACGTGTTTGTCGTCTTGGTTTTGCAGGCCTGGGGATGGACCGGGGCCTTCTGCCCACCAGACGACACCATCTCTGCCCTGCACCCCCAGCCTCCTGCCTCTTTCTGTTTGATCCAGACCGGTGACGTCCATGAGTAACTGGAACGGACCCTACCTGAGGCAGCTTGTCCTCATCCGGACCCTAACTGAGGCAGCTTGTCCTCATCAAAAAGCCGTCTTTCTAAGTCATTGTGGACACTCATAGGAAGTTTAAGATAAGCAGCTCCCATTTACGGATTTTGGGGGGACTAAAGAGGTGTCACCAGCTCCTAGGGTCCCTTTTACAGAGCACAGACATGAAGGAGGCTGGAATTTCTTTACTAAAAGGACTGGGAAATGGGAAAAGAAAGGGTGAGTGAAAAAATGAAAAGTAAAACTGCTCCACAGAACATTCTAGACTCAACAGGGTAGCCTGAGCTGGCAAAATGGAAGGGACTGGTGTGTATATAACAAAAAGGAGGTGGGCCATTTAGGCTCTTGGATCTGAGTTTGCAGGAAGACCCCAGGGGCAATTACTCCCTTCACTCTAGCAACCGTGGCAAAATTGTGCCTCACCAGGTTGCTCATAGTACAGAGGTCTGTGTGACTCTGGACAGACAGGGAGAAGCCTCTGCGTGTCTGCCACGGTCCTCGGAGGTGTGTGCACTATTTTGGCATTGTCATCCACAAAGTTCACGCTTGAGAGTCACACAGTTGTTACCAAAAAAAGCAAAAATAAATCTAACCGTGTTTTGAGTAAGGTCGTGATCTTGGGTTGGGCTCTATTCAGTCATAGTTGCCGTGTGGCGGGCGAGCTGTGGATTGAACACACCTGGTAACAGTCAAAGTCCTCAGATCGTGGTCCCTGGACCAAATGTCCCTACTCTGAAGCCAAGGTGGCCTCTAGCAAGCTTTCCTAAGGTCCCATCAAGTCTGAGTCACTATTCGGATCAGACTGCCCCCAGTGCCTGCTGTGGTGGCCCCCAGATTCTGTGTACACAGAGATCTCGAGGAAACTGCTTTTCCTGAGGCAGGGTCTCACTGTGTATCCCCGGCTGGCCTAAACCCCGCTGTGTGGATCAGGCTGGCCTCAAACTCGCGGAGATCCACCTGCCGCTGCCCCCTGAGTTCAGGTTCAAAGGTCTGGCTTAAGGGCTCCTTTGAATAAAATGAGACCTTCCTTTCAGAAGGTGCCTCCCGGCTTTACAATTTCTCCTTGTTGCCTCTCTGTTTCTGTTTCTGTTAAGAACCCCGACTGGGTGCCTCTCACCAGCCTGTCACACTGCAAGCCGCTGAGGACAATGACAGCCATCAGCCGCTACATGGAGCTGACTGTTGAGCCTGTGCAGCAGGTGAGTGGTGCTGGGTATCCAGATGGTGAGAAGAAAGCAGCCCTGGAAGGCTTCCTGGAAGAGGTGGTACTTCAGCTGCTGGGGTCTGTTTAGAGTTCTCCAGAGTTGTGGTGGAGGGGAGCCCGTGGGAGGAGAAGTCCTTTGCCCTCTGCTCTCTTAGGGCCCATGGCTGGGGACTGATGAAAGAGAAAGAAACCGTTTAGTTACCTCTACAAGGGTGTTCACGGAGAAAAATGGGGTCCGAGAAAGTCTCCAGATGGTTGAGGCTTCTAACCCATCTCAGGCTCAGGGAAAAGGCCTAGAGCTTGTGGGGTCAGAAGGCGAATTAGGAAAGGAGAGGGGAGGGGAAGTGTGGCTCCTTTTGTGTGACTCAGGTGACAGACAACAGCTGTGTCTGGATGTGGCTTACCTGGTAGGGAAAAAAATGGGTTTCGTTTACAAATGTGAATTACCAAGCACAGAAAGGAAAATGTATACAGTTGGCCTCTTTTTAAGATTTTAGTTTTTATTCATTTAAATGTTTTTTCATTGTATCTGTTCATCATATGTGGTTCCTTGTTACCTGAAGATATTTTCGTACCCGTGTAAACTGTATGCATGCTTATGAACGCTGTATGTCTACTGTGTGTTCCCCACCCAATGTATCAGTACTTGATGCACTCTTCAGACAAAATAAACTTCAGGGAGACGGGCTTATTTGGGATCACAGTTCGAGGGTACAGTCCATCATGGTGGGGAGCCTGAGGCGACGGGTCACATGGTATCCACAGGCGGGAAGCAGGGGAAGATGGGTGCTTGTACCCAGCTTTAGGACCCGGCCTCGGGAACAGTGAAGTCCACTCTTAGGATGGGTCTTCCCATTAAACTGATCTGCTCTTCACGTGCTTACCGAGAGGCTGGTCTCCTAGGTGACTCTCGGTCCTGTCAAGGTGACAGTCGGTGTTAGCCATCACGCCAACCCTGCTTCCTGGCTCTTTCCTCTCTGCCTCCTCCCCTCTCTCCCTTCCCTTTAGTTCACTTGGTTTTCTCTGACAGTGTCTTAGTCAGGGTTTCTGTTGCTGTGAAGAGACACCAGGCCCTCGGCAACGCTTATAAAGGAAAACATTTAATGGGGGTGGCTTACAGCTCTGAGGTTCAGTCCATTATCATCATGGTGGGACATGGCGGTGTGCAGGCAGACACGGAGCTGGAGAAGGAGCTGAGAGCTCTCCATCTTGGTCCCCAGGAAGCAGGAGTCTCTGTCCTACTGGCCAGACTTGAGTTTACACGACCTCAAAGCCTACCTCCCACAGTGACACACTTCCTCCAACAAGGTCCCACCTACTTCACAAGGCCACACTCCTAACAGTGCCTCTCCCTGTGGGCCACGCATTCAAACACATGGATTTATGGGGGCCGTGCATATCCAGACCACCACAGCCAGTTTCACTTCTAGGCTCGTGTCATAGACACTGACACAACCGTGTCTGGCCTAAAATCAAGGGACCACAGGTAATAACTTACCTTTCTGAGACTGATGGAATTCTCTTAATGTGACTCTCTGGAGTCGGATCTACTTTCCCGCAAATGGCCTGGCGGTGTTTTTCTTTAAGTCCATTCCATTGTGTGTGTGAGCTACGCTGTCTACTTATTCTTCGGTCGCTGGATACCTGGGTTGGTTCCATAGCTTAGCTACTGCACATAGTGTCGCAGTGAGCACTGATGTGTGGGTGTCTCTGTGACACATTGACTAGGAGAAGTCCTTCAGGTTCGTACCTAGGAGTGCTAGCTGGGTTATGTGTTAGATATATTTTTAGCTTTGTGAGACTCCCCCATACTGACTTCCTGGGGGCTAGATTAGTTTATATTGCCACCAGGAAATGTGTAAGGATCCCCTTATGTCCGTGTTTTTATCAGCATTTTTTGTCTTCTTTTTCATTCTGTCTGTGTGTGTGTGTGTGTGTCTGTATGTGTAGGCCAGAGAGGATGTTGGAGCTAGAGTTACAGGCAGTTGCGAGCCATGTGATGTGGGTCTTGGATCTGAACTCAGGTCCTCTAGAAGAGCATCGTGTGCTCCCAGGCACTGAGCCATCTCCTTCGACCTGTTCTTAATGACTGCCATTCTGACTGGGGTGAGAGAGAATTTCCACATAGTTTCTAATTAAGATTTTTCTGATAGGTAGTGAGGTTGAACGCTTTTTGTATGCTTATTGATCCCTTATATTTCATCTTTTGTGGACTGTAAGTTTCACTAGACTATTTATTAAGTTGATTGGTTTCTTGTCGTTCAGTATTTTTCAGTCCTTTGCATATTCTAGGTGTTAATGTTCGATGGATAGATTGTTAATATTATTATGGTATAGTCCAGAAAGCAATGTCAGCTAGCAAAGATTTCCCCCCCTTCAGTAGGCTCTCTTATTTGATGAGTTATTTCCACTGCAGTTCACAGCTTTTTAATTTCATGAGGTTTCGTTTATCAACTCCTGAGCCGCTGGAGTCCTGTTCAGAAAATTCATGCCTATGCCTGAATCTTAAAATATTTTACCCCTTTTCCTCTAATAATTTCAGAGTTCTAGGTCTTACTTTGAGGGCTTCGGTTCATTTGGGGCTGCTGTTCATCTTGCTATTTTCTTTTCCTGTTTTGTTTTGTTTTTTTTTTTCTTTTTTTTCCCTCCCTCTCCCCTCCCCTTGAGATGGGTTCTTAGCTTACTATGTAGCTCTAGCTGGCCTGAAACTTGCTACATAGACCAGACTGACCTTGAACTCACAGAGACCTTCCAAACCCAGCACCATTCTACATAAGGGACTTGGAGCACCCTGAGTATCACTGGGCATGGTGGTCCTGGAAGGAGACCCCATTCTGGGGGATGACTGCTTTTTTGGCGGCTAAGATATGGCAAAGAGTTTCTCCTGGTTTTTACTTGTCTTTCATTTAAAGTATATGTGCCAAAGAGATGTTTTGGTCCCTCGCAGAATGAGTGCATGTGAAAGATGGAGAGGTGACAGGGGTGTCAGATCACCAGGTGTGGTATCCAGCTGTCAGTCCAGTATCCAGCTGGAGAGGAGGCTTTGGGTCTAAGTTCAAGGTCGCCTGTGCATGTTTGAACTATCTTTAGGTGGCAGATAGGCAGGAAGAAGTGACTAGAAGTTGGCGGTCAGCAATGGTCACTGTGAGTCTTGAGAAGAGGAGGTGAGGCTTTGGCTAAGGCTGGAGTAGACGGGAAAGCAGAGAGTTAGAAGTGGAGTTCGTAAGGGGCTGCAGGACTCCGGCCTATCTTCTCAGTCTTCTAGAGGGAGAGGGCTGGGAAAGAGACGATGGGAAGGTCACCCCATCAGCCCACTGCTGTCAGGTTTCTAGGCCAGCTCACCAATGACTTCCAAGTTGCTGAATCCTCGTCATTTCTCTCTGAGACTCACTTGGCCTCTGGTGCTGACTCTCCGGTCCCAACACTGTTTCCTGCCAGCTTCAATACTCACTCATGGTTAGCTTGCCCTTAGGGTGGGATTGTCTCAACCCTGTCAGGGAGTGCTCCCTCCTCTTAGTGCGCTCTTACAGACCCCAGCTCCACGGCTCACTCCTAACTCATGCTGACTCCCAGGATGCATCTGTTCCTCTCCCCTTACTTCCGGTCCCAGACGCCCAGGTGCCTGTTCACAGCACCACGCGGCATCACATTCTTACTACATCCATGTGGAGCTCAGGCTTTCCCTGCGCAAATGGGCTCCTTCTGCATCACAGGAAGTGGTGTCCCCATCTATGCAGATTCCCAGGTTCCCCTCTCTTCCCCTTGCTCCGTCCCCTTCCCACTCGGTCCTTTTGCTGGTTCTGCAAATGCTTCTTTTAAAATAGCTAATGAAACCTGTAGTCCCGTACTGGAGAGGTGAGGCAGAGGATTGCTCCAAGTCCAGAGTCAACCTACACAGTGAGTTCAACACCTGAAGTACAATGAAACCCTGCAACAAACAAAGCAAAATAAAGTCTGGGCTCTGTATCGAAACCCAGGCTGCACAGACACTGTCTCAAAAAAAAGGGGGGGGATGGGGGGCTCTTAAGGCTGCATATAGATACTGTCTCAAAAAAGGGGGTGGGGGGGAGTTCTTAAGGCAAACAGTTGTCCACGGGCTCCTCTCGACTGCCACTCCTGTACCGCCCTGACATCTACGCCCGCAGCCATCAGGGTTGTGTTTGCTCTGCTTTTGGTTTGCTCGGGTTTTTGCTGTTGTTGTCGTTTTATTTGTTTTAGTTTGGTTTGGTGGTGGTTGTTGTTTGTTTATTTGAGACAGCTCTGTAAGGGAAGCGGTCCTGAAACTCAGCTCCTCCTGCCTCAGACACGGGGGTTGGAGGTGTGTGCCAACAGACCAGGCAGGCAGGAAAGCTCTTTACAGACATAACTTACATTTTCGAATTTTTATTCATTATTTTGTGTGTGTGTGTGCGTGCGTGTGCATCCGAGGTATGTATGTGCACCACATGTGTGCAGGAGCCTATGAGGTCAGAAGAGGGTGTCAGATCCCCTTGGAGCTGGAGGTATGGGGCAGTGGTGAGCCACTATGCAGGTGCTGGGATCTGAACCTGGGGCCCCTGCAAAAGCAACAAGTGCCCTTAACTACTGAGCCATCTCTCCAGCCCCCATAACTTACATCTTAACCTGTCTTCGTTTAAAACACTTCTCTGGCTTTCTCTTTCACACAAAGTAAAATCTAAAAAACTCCTTCCAGGGACTCCAGGCCGCCCAGGTCCTGGCCCCTTCCTGCCACTCAGAACCCGCTCAGTGCTCCCTGCCCTCCAGCCTGCTTTCCTTCTCTCCCGCTGCGCAGGCCTCTCTCCTTCTCTGTTTCTCCCTCAGACTGCAACCTGGGCATCCCCCCGACCCCCAGGCCTCCCCAACCCCCAGGGAGAAATCACCCCCACTGCTCTGTCCTCTCCCATGATTCTCTTCGTTCTGGGGTTTCTCAGCAAAGCCCTGGTCACTGTTTGACTTTTCTGCCCTGGCCCTCTCTCGCCTGGCTTTCTCCTGGAGCCTATAACGTGCAGGTCATGGGCCCTCGGTACAGGTGCATTTTGACCATATAGCTCAGTGGTGTGGCCCCTGCGCCACTACGTGGTGGACACGGGTGCTCAGAGGACTTGGCACCTGACAGCTAGGCTTGACCCTTTGCCGGGTTCCTGGTTGGTGACTCCTTCTGCCTGTGATGAAGTTCAGAGACAATCAATGCACCAATTTACATTGAGGAGCCTACTTCAGCCATGAAAGCATTTTTCTGACCAGGGGGAAGCAGAGGGGTGGGAGGGAAGGACGGAGGGGCCCTCGGGAGCAATGTTTTTTTTTTTTTTTTTTTTTTTTTTTTTTTTTTTTTTTTTTTTTTTGGTTTTTCAAGACAGGGTTTCTCTGTGCAGCTTTGTGCCTTTCCTGGATCTCACTCTGTAGCCCAGGCTGGCCTCGAACTCACAGAGATCCGCCTGGCTCTGCCTCTCGAGTGCTGGGATTAAAGGCGTGCGCCACCTCCACCCGGCTGAGCAATGGTTTTTAAATCACAGCACTAAGGGAAAAAAAATGCCGGAGCCTCTCTGGGGTGGGATCTGGGCTGGGACTCGCTTCTGCCCTGGGTTCCATCGCCAGCATTACAGAAAAGGAAATAGTGTGGAACTGTGTTCACCTTCAGCCACGTCATGCCTCAGGGTCGCAGGGTCGATACTAGGGAACCGCCCTCCCTACGACCCGTGCCCGCAACCCCTACCCACGCGCAAGGGGCGTGCGACTCCCTCCTTCTCCCCCCCCCTCCAATCCCAACCACCAGGGCCGTTCACCCAGCCTCTTCCACCTGTGTCCACCAGGGGGCGAGAAGGGCCGAGGCCATGTGGACCAACAGCTCCACCCTCAGTGGGCAGGTTTGAAATCCCTTGTTCGTCTCTTGATCGGGGTGTATAATCTGCCCCGGGAAATTTTAGAATTTATTCTGTTGCCCGGGAGCCACCTGCTTCCCGGCTCCACCCACGGGTTTCTATTTCAGCTCCCTCCTCCTGGGGGCAGCAGGGTGGCACCTTACCCGTGTTCCAGGGCTGCCTCCGGAACACCGCCTTTGCCCCCTGGTGGATTTCTCCACCTGTCCCACTGACGCACATGGAATGCTGTATGCTGTCCACCTAGGACTGAGCCCTCACGATGGGGCCAGAGCGTTTACATCGGGTCCCTCTGTTGTTGCTGAGATCACCAACCTCGTTGATTTGGCTGCGAAACCGAGACCCGAAGGGGACACATTGCCTTTGGCGGTGACTCAGTCGGTTAACAGATGACCTTTCAGAAAGCTTTGATTGCGGCTGTCATCGTTGGGCACGCGGCATAGAGGAGTCACTTCTGTCCTTTCCACCATGCGGCTTCTGGGGGATCCAACTCAGGTCACCAGGCTAGGTGGCAGGCACCCTTACCTGTAGATTCGTGTTGTTAGACCCAGTGTGCAGCCCAGGCTGGCCTTGAACTCACAATCCTCCTGGCAGTTCCTCCTCAGTACATCCCACCACCTTCGCCATCACAAACCCGAGCCTATTTATTGTTGTTGTTGTTGTTGTTGTTGTTTTTGTTGTTGTTATTCAAAGGGAGAGTCCCTTGTAAGCCAGTCTTCCCTGGAACTCACTATGTAGATGAGGACAACCTGGCACTGCTGATCCTCCTGCCTCCGCCTCCCTAGTGCTGGAATTGAGGGCATCCTCCACACCCTGGCCAAAACCCAGAATGCTGCATGGTTCTGAAAGTCCAGCAGATGGAGCTTTTCTGACCGCTAGGGAGACTCTCTCCACCCCTCCACCCCAGCCCCTGTGCTCTGTGTAGGGATAGATGGACGGGCTAGGGAGGTTGCAGATAGATGGATGACGGACAGATCCCAGTCCACAGACCTTCTTCCAGGGTCTCCCAATCCTCCCGCCAATCCCTTCACATGCTGCTCTGGTGTGAGTCGGTAAATCCTCAGCCGGAGGTGTTGCAGCTGTCCAGGTTACAAATGGACACCCCCTTTCATCCAGGAATTCCTAGAGATTCTCTGAGGGCCCAGAAGTCCGAGATGTCTGGCTGGGTTTGTTATTTTTTTTTCTGTTGGCTTCGAGAAAACACCACGACCAAGGCCGCTGATAGGATGAAGGGTGGTGTGTTTACCCTTGCAGTTCCCGAGAGTGAGAGTCCGTATCAGGGAGGGCAGCAGGCAGCAGACATGGTAGCTGGAGCTGGCCCCTGGAAACGGAGAGCTCACACCCAGAACTGCAAACACAAAGGGGAGAACCAAGTCAATGGCACGAATCTTAACGTACCCAAGCTCCCCGCCATTGAAGTACTGCCTCCAACGACTCCACGCCTCCTGGACTGCCCGGTGTCACCAACGAGGGACCTAATGTTCAAAAGCCTGGGACTCCCAGGAACATCTCGTGCAAACCACTGCACTGGTGTGACTTACCGGAGTCCGCACAGACCGGAAAAGCAAGAGATTTCAAAGCCCTGAGTACCCGTCCGTGAGGGGTTGGTTACATGGACTCCTAACGTCTATAATGCTACTCTTAACAAACCCCCATAGCTTGTCATATAGAACTATATCCGAGGTATATCATTAAGGGAACGTAAAATGTGTAAGAGGCTGTGGAGTGTGCTGCTGTTTGTGGAATTCAGGAACAGTACACCACACACATCGGTGCCTTTGGAATACTAAAGTGCACGCATGCTTTGAGTGCTAAAGGGGAATTAAATCAAGTGTCCCTGTTCACCCTGTTCCTTCGCTCCTCGCAGGCAGGCTGTAGTGGCACCAGGCTACCCGGTGATGGACAGACGAGCACCGAAGATCCCTCCTTGCAGGAGCCTCCCTCATACCCTCCCATCCAGGTCATCCAGGCCAGAGTGTCTTCCAGCAGCAGCTCCTCCGAGGTCTCCTCCATCAACTCCGACCTGGAGGTACAGGGCCTCCCCGGCGGGTGGGGTGTGCATGGGTGTGTCACCTACCAGCACTTGCTGGGGCCTCCTTGAGACTGACCTGCTTTCTAACGCTGCCTTATTAACCTCAAAACTGCTAATCATGAGTGAAGCGCCTCACGGCTCCCACGGTCTATGGAGAAGCTTCTCAAACTAGGGCAGGACTCCAGCAATGTCTAGGTTGGGCTGGTCAAAGGGAATCCTGGACGATGGGGTCCAGTTCTCATAGACTACTTACGTATTCGGGTCCTTCCTACAGAAAAAAAAAAAAAATCTCTTAAAAGCCTGTGCAGTGGTTTAGGATTGATGGCTTAGGCCGTAACCCCAGTGTGCAGGCGGCTGAGGCATGAGGATCATGAGTTCAAAGCCAGCCTGGGCTATATAAGAACCTGTTAGAAGGAAAGGAGAGAGGGAGAGAGAAGGAAGGCCTCCATCTCACTGTGTATCTGAAATGCACGTCACTCCAGGGATGCACAGACAGGCATAACTCTCACGTGTGTCCTGTCGCTCCGGGTTCCAGCAGCTGCGGTTCCCAGCCACCTTCAACAAGGCAGTTTCCATTTGTCCGAGGACAGAGGAGAGCAAGGACGGCACAGAGGTCGCATGTATGTCGGAGAAGGATGCCACCTGGCTTTTTTGGTGGAGGGATGGCTGAGTTTTGTGGCCCAGCCTTTTGGGTGCTGAATGCCCATTTGTGGAATGATGGGTCGTCAGCAGCAAGTGACGCTGAGTCGTGGCTTGGGTTTGGTTTGATTTTTTTTTTCCCAAGACAGGGTTTCTCTGGATAGCTTTGGAGCCTGTCCTGGAACTCACTCGGTAGCCCAGGCTGGCCTCGAACTCACAAAGATCCACCTGGCTCTGCCTCCCGAGTGCTGGGATTAAAGGCGTTGGTTTGATTTTTTTAATGCCCTTATTTGCCAAAATAATCATGTGCTCAGAGTCTGAAAATTAGTCAGATTTATACTGTACCCTGAAATCCAAAACTCAGAACTTCTGACTGTGAGGTAAACCAGACTCTGTAGTGTGATGTTCCAGACGTTTCTGCTCATAGCTAGGGTTCTGTCCTGGCCATTCTCTCCCCTGTCCCGGGCCTCTGGACCTTTCCTCCTGGGTTCCCTCTAGCCCCATTTCCATGGGCCAGAATTCTACCCAGAAGCCTGCTTCTGTGAACCCCCATCCCAGGACCAGAGGCTCCCTCCCTGCTGCCCAGAGCCCATTTTCCTGCCCACCTCCACAGGTGGCCGTGGCCTGATGAGTGTGGGTGTGTCGCATGTCCCTCACTCTTAGAACAGCTGGCGTTTGAGAGCTGGGCTGGAGTTAGGAACTGTGCACCTCACGGGGCCATTTTCCTAAACTGAGTCCGAGAGGATTTGCGACACCAAGAAGCCTGGAGCTGGCGGGTCTCCACTGAGGTCTGGAGCTGAAGGGACTACAGAGGGAGCCCAGGGCCGAGCAGGGACAGGAGGGCCCGTGGGGGAGTAGGGGACTATTTACTTTGTGGAAATGATGACGTCTCCTCCCCCCAGCCCCCCAAAGTACCTGGCATCTGTCTTGAACATTGCTGGAACCTGCCCCTGTGGTTAGTCCGGGCCGTGTCTCTGCTCCGCGGTCCGTATTCTTCCCCCAGTTATAATCTCACAGTTTTTAGAAGTCCATTATTTAAAAATAGGTGCATCCTTGCTGTTCGGGTGTCTCATACCTGTAATCCCAGCACTCTGGCAGCTAACACTAGAGGATCCCTGAAAGTTTCAGACCAGCCCGGACCACACAGTGAGACCCTGTCTCAACACAAAGCCAGAAGTTACACATATGTAAATCCTCAGAGTCCAAACAAAGCAAGTGGCCCTGGCTGTGTCTCCCCACATTAAAAGATAAATGTATAAGCTGGATGGTGATGGCACATGCCTTTAATCCCAGCATTCGGGAGGCAGAGGCAGGCGGATCTCTGTGAGTTTGAGGTCAGCCTGGTCTACAGAGCAAATTCCAGGACAGCCAAGGCTACACAGAGAAACTCTGTCTTGGAGATAAAACAAACAAACAAAACTCTCATCTTTTCTATTTCTGTATGGTTTTGTTTATTGCTGGGGACTGAACCCCAAGTCTTGACCAGCCTGCAAAAGCACTCTGTTGTTGAGCCAAGCAGACCTACGCCTTTTAAAAACTCATACAGTGTTCGTGACTCTGCTGGTCTCAATGAGAATGGTCCCCATAGGGTCGTATATTTGAATGCTCGACTCCCAGTTGGTGGAACCGTTTGGGAAGGGATAAGGAGTGAGGTCTTGTTGGAGGAGGTGTGTCTCTGGGGGTGGGCTTGCGTCTCCCTCTGCCTCCAGATGTGTGCTCTCAGCTACCGCTCCAGCACCATGCCTGCCTACTGCAATGAGATGCCATGTAATACACATTTGGGGGCAGAAAATTCAGAAAGCATAAAGAGAGCAGAGAAGAAAATGAAAACCAACCCCCTGGCTCACTAACCAACGGTCACCTCCTCCATGCCATTGGTTTGGGGAGCCATGTTCCTTGAAGGTCTTGGTTTGTTTGCTACTAAGTGAGATCTGGAAGGTGTCTGTTAGCAGATGATGTAACCCCATACCTCACCTCGGCATCTCGTCAGTCATCCAGCAAACATTTTCCAAGCGTAGGCATTTGAAGGGAAAATACATGAGGACAGAGGGTCTGGCCTGAACCTGCCCGCAACAGGCAACTGCAGTGCCTCTTGGCCACAGTGACTCAGGTCTTCTGCACATGCCTTCAGAGGGAAGCGTGGGGGTCAGAGTCAGGCCTCACCTCTCCCGTCCTTAAGCTGGAATCATTCACATACTTGATGGCATTCAACTCGGGCATCCAGGGCATCTCTCCTCCCTCTTGGGATGCCTCATCCAGGGCATCTCTCCTCCCTCTTGGGATGCCTCATTCAGGGATTCTCTCCTCCCTCTTGGGATGCCTCTGTCCATGTCCTGCTCCCCTTCTCTGACTGCTGCTGAGTGCCCTTCCTCCATCCCCTGGCTTGAATCTGTCACTGACCACCCGGGCTTCCGTTTGATCCCATTTAATACAATCTAGGAGAGATGGTACCTGTTGTGTCTCTCCTTGGCCAATCTGAAAATGTGAACCCTGCCAAGTCTAGTACCGTCTTACGTCCCTGGTCTTGGGGACAGTCACTTCTCCCCAGATATAGGAGGAAGTAGTTGGATAGATGGTCTCCAAGAGTGTTTCCATTTCCCACGGTCTGTAGCTTAAACCTAGAATGTGGCCTTATTTTATCAATGCTCAACACCGCCCCCCCATACACACACCACTTCACTTCCTCAGGAATGGAAGAAATATTGCCACACGCTGTGTAGACAGGAACTAGCACATGTTTCAGAAGCATGAAAAAGCCTGCTTTAGGAAGCTCATGAACTGAAACACTGTGTGCTGTACTTCACATAGGGGACAGAATCACATCCCTAAAAATTACTCAGGAATGCAAGAAGCCAGGTATGGTGGCCACATCTTGGGAGTTGGAGGCTGGCTTGAGTGACATCTCACAATCCTGTCCCAAAAGGATAAGGACTGTGGACATGTTTGTTGTGTGTAGAAGGGGAAAAAGTATTTGCACAATTTGCTCTTATTGTAGTGTACATAGTGTATACATATGGCGTCATTATACACACAGCATGGCTGTGATAATTGTTCTCAAAAGGTTATTCTATAACTGTTCAGAGAGAAAAATCTCCCAAGGATAGAATATATATATAGAATGTGTATGTGTGTACTTTTGAACACTTATTTTTGTGTTATGTGTATGAATGTTTTCCTGCCTGTGTGTCTGTGTACCATGTGCATGCAGTGCCTGAAGAGGCCAGTAGAGGGCACTGTATGCCCTGGAATTAGAGGGAACCATCATGCGGGTGCTGAGAATCAAACCTGGGTCTTCTAGAAGAGCAGCCAGTGTTCTTAACTGCTGAGCTGTCTCTCCAGTCAGTGTATATATATTTTGATGAGTCCTTTTTTTTTTTGAGTCTTATGTAGCCTAGGCTAGCTTCACACTGATAGGTAGCTGAGGCTGGCCTTGAAGACTTCAGATTCTCCTGCCTCACCTCCCCAGTGCTGGCTGGGATGTTATTTTTTGCATCTTTTTCTGTGGGGAAAAAATGTTTTTTTTTTCTTTTGTTGTTGTTTGAAACAGGGAAAAGATCTAAAACATTTTATTTATTGTTAGCCTTTTGGGAGGAGAGACTTCTGTTATAAAGATTTGAGTTAACTGGGCTTACGATGTCATCATAGACTTAAAATAAAAGCCAGGTCTGGTGGTGATGGTACATGCTTGTAATCACAGCACTACAGGCAGAGGCCGGAGAAGTGCCGGTTTGAAGTTTGTGTGATCTACACATAGACCCTGTCTAAAAAAAAAAGCCAAAAAAACAAAAACAAAAAACCCTAACCACTCCTCCCAGCAGAGGGCGCTCTTGTTAACGCTCACGCTGTCCCTGGTGTTGGCTCTTGGAATGACTGTCCAGGTTTCATTTCACGCAGCTGGGAGACTCGAGCCTACTTACTGGTTTACTTGACTTTAAATAAACTTTTCATTTTGGAATAATTTTGGATGTACAGATTTTTTTTTTTCAAAATTAGCACAAATTTCCTGTTTGCCCTTTTTGGCCCAGCTACCTCTTTTCACGTCTTACGTAACACGCTACATTTAGCAAAGCTAAGAAACGAACCGAGTACATTTCTACAGCTGGACTCCAGGCTCGGCTTGGATCTCGGCAGTTTCTCACCAGCTGGATGTGGTCAAGGACAGCGCACTGCGCTCTGAAACCGTCCTTAACCGAGTATGCACAAACTGTTAGCACCGCAAACTGCCATTTACATTTTGGGTGGATGTCCATGTTTTTCTAAGGAAAAGCAAAGTGCTTTTGAATTTAACGTCTCTTCTTACTTCCATCACACTTTAAAATCATGGAGCTTTTTCAGGCCCTGTGTTATGTAAGTTTAGTCATCTGTACCTTTTCTAATGAATTTTTCCATTTATGTTTCCACCAGAAGAATGTCAGTAAAAAGATGGGTGGGGCTGAGTGCCCGCATCCCGGGGAGCCCCCTGCCAGGCTGGCTGCAGCCTATCTGTGCTATCGATTCGCTTCTGAATGTTTCCTCTCCACTTAGAGGGGCAAAAGATGAACGCCAGCAGGGAGAAGGCAGGGGAGGATAGGCAGGGACAAGTCTGAGCAATACAATGATACATATGTATTCCAACTTAAAAAGGAAGGTGAATGCTAGCCAGTCTTAGTGGTACATGCCTGTAATCCCAGCACTGGGGGAGGCTGAGGCAGGAGGATGACATGCTTCTTGCCAGCCTCTGCTACACACTGAGAGCCTGTTACACAAAATTGATTACTTAATTGATAATAAAAAGATGCATGGCAGCTAGTTCAGGTTTGGTGTATCACCCCTAAAGCCCCAGCTCTTGAGACTGCCACATGTTCAAGGCCAGCCTGAGCTACAATATGAGAATTTATCTCAAAAAAGAAAAAAGAAAGAAAATTTAGGCTTTGCATACACGAAGCCTTGGGTTTCAGGATAAGTACCCTCTCCCTGCAAAATAAGATAATGCTAAGGATTCTGCACAGAGATGAGCTGGGGCTACGTGGGGATTAGCTTGGGTTTAGTCATGATTTCACAATTAGGATGTGTCTATGGAAGCCTTCTATGTGATTTGCAAATGAATGATTTACTTTAAAATACCAGATTAGGAGCTAGGTGAGCAGGCTCGCACTGGCCTTCATTATTTTTTTTTTGTTTTTGTGTACGACTACAATCCCTACAATTAAAGCATTTAAAATGAGCATTTAAAGAGTCGAACAGGCCAGGCATGTCGTCACAGGCTGGTAGTCCAGCATTTGGGAGGTGGAGGGAGGAGGATCAAGGCTAGCCTTAGCTAGGCAGTGAGTCGGAGGCCAGCCTCAGCTACGTGAGACACTGTCTCAAGAAACAAGTCAATAAAAGACTTGAACCGTAGAAGCTTTGTTTTCAATGGCTGCTAGGTCGTTTCATAGACGTCCACGAACAGCCTATCAGCATAGACTCCTAGCTCCTGGGTCAGAAATGCAGGTCTCCCAGGCACGGAATGAAGAGCTGGAGGACCGACCCAGACAGTCCGCACTTGCTCGCCCAGACTCTTGAGTCAGGCATATTTGAGGCTTGGAGTGGAACCAGCCATGCAGTAAACGCTGAGGAAAAAATGAATGCCAGCTGCTTGGCAAACCCCATATTTCAAGGTGGAGGTTTTATTTGCACCTCTTTCTTACCAGTTTTATGAGTTTGCATTGGGTAATCTCAGCTATGTGGTTAATAAGTAGAAGATTTACTGTTATTATTACTATTATTAGAACTACTGCTGCTACCACCCATAATTTCTAATTATAGTAATTGTGAAGTGCCTGAGAATCATTTCTCCCAGAACCCAAAGCCCTGCGTAACCATGGTGGGTTTATTTTATTTTGATCATTTAACTAACTTACTAAATTAATTACTCTGCTAATAGCGACTGCCTTCCTGCTTGCTGGAATGTTGTCCCGCCCCCAGCCCCCCCCCTCCCCAGCCATCCAGGGCTCTGACTCCCGGCTCACTGAGCACATGGGCTGACTCTGAGCTCTGTGATCCCGGGGCAAGATCTGTCCAACACTCTCTGTCTCTCTTTTTATCCTACAGCAGAAGTATTGGGAAGCCCTAAACTCGGAGCAGGTATGGACAAGCGTTTGGGCTCTTTCGGGAGGGACTTCCATGGCTTGATTTTCCATTTCTGTTTCTGTTTGAACCCCCTTGTTTGGAGGACATGACCGTTTTTTTAGTTTAAAAAAAAAAAAAAAAAAAAAAAAAAAAAAAAAAAAAAAAAGGAGGGCTGGAGAGATGGCTCAGGGGTTAAGAGCACTGGTTGCTCTTCCAGTCTTCCAGAGGTCCTGAG